TTTTTTTCATCCTCCAACAGAGTTTTATTAAGCAACTGTTGGGTACTCAGTGCTGTGTCACATTCTGTAAAATATCTTAAAAATAAAGAGGAAGAAGAAGAAAGTTTAATAACATATTGTTTATGGTCATCCTGGGGATATAAGACATTTAAGTAAAAATGGCTTCCTGTATTTGAGGTAGTTTTAAGGTAGATCTTTTGAAGTAGCATGTGGAAACTGCTGGCATAGAGCCTTAGGTTGAGGCAAAGGAAAAGTTGTTTCAGCTGGAATTCATTTTATTTATTATTTTTTTTAGAGACAGAGCCTCACTTTATTGCCCTCAGTAGAGTGCAGTGGGCTCAGAGCAACCTCCAACTCCTGGGCTTAGGCCATTCTCTTGCCTCAGCCTTCTGAGTAGTTAGGACTATAGGAGCCTGCCACAATGCCCGGCTATTTTTTTGTTGCAGTTTGGCTGGAGCCGGGTTCAAACCTGCCACCCTTGGTCTGTGGGGCCAGTACCCTACCCACTGAGCCATAGGCACCGTCCTGGAATTAATTTTTAAAGTCTGTTTCTTGAGGGAGGAGGTAGAATTAGACTTTGAACGATGTCTAGGTTTGGGTTGATGAGTTAAGAAATTCAGTATGTGCCAAGAGTTAGGGGTGAGGAGATTTGGCAAAAGGAAAATAAGAGTTTTATTTGAGAGTGTTAAAAAAAAAAACTGGCTTAACTGGATTGGATGGAGAGAACTAGGGTTTGAACCATTGATAAAAGGTTTAAGAACCTACCTAATAGAACAGTTCAGACTAAATTAGAAAAACAGCAGATTCTTGGCAGGCATGGTGGCTCACACCTGTGATCCTGGCATTCTGGGAGGCCACAGCAGGAGACTTGCTTGAGCTCAGGAGTTTGAGACCAGCCTGAGCAAGAGTGAGAGCCTGTCTCTACTAAAAGTAGAAAAACTAGCCAGGTGTGATGGCAGGTACCTATCGTCCCAGCTACTTGGGAGGCTGAGGCAAGAGGATTGCTTGAGCCCAGGAGACTGAGGTTGCTGTGAGCTGTGATGCTATTATGGTATTCTACCCAGGGTGACAGAGTGAGACTCTATCTTTAAAAAAAAAAAAAGAAAAATGAAAAGCAGCAGTTTCTTAACTGATACAGCAAAAGGGTGGTCTTTTCAAAAGTTGGATCTGACATGGATGTGTAAGATGAATTAGGTTATGGGAAAATGAGAGTAAGAGAAAACCAATGGGAACTTATTGCTAATTTATGTTTGAGTTGATGAAAATTTAGGTTAAGGTAATGGCAAAAAATGAAGAAAGGCAAATATGATAGATGTTAGGATTAGCATAAAGTTATAGGTGGCTGGGGAAGAGGTAGACAATGACTATTATATTGGTCTGAAAAGAAGTGATCAGAGGCCACAGAGCACTTTCTCTAGAGTGATAGAGGATTAAGGAGTGTGAGGAAGTTGAGGCAGCAGGAGTTGCACGTTTCAGGAATTTGCCTGTTAAAGGAAAGTTGAGTCAAATGAGGAGCTCCCTCCCTCTTACATACCTCTTCATGACGGAGAAAACTTCTAAAGGTTTGAGGTAGTGAGGAAAATAATGATCTCCTTTAAGAGCGTTCAAAAAATTTTTTCACCTTCAGATCAGTGTTTGAGCAGCTTATCTCACATTACTTAATGTTATTTTTCTATTTTCACTTCAGATCCAGAAGCAGCAAGGTCGAGCAGTTCCAAAATCACCACCACACTGGGTCTGGTTGTCCATGCTGCAGGTAGGGTTGGATTGCAATGTAACCTCTTCTCTGTCACACTGAGGAAGGCCTCATCTCTAAAAAAAAATAGCCAGGCGTTGTGGCAGGTGTGTGTAGTCCCAGCTACTTGGGAGGCTGAGGCAGGAGGATCGCTTAAGCCCAAGAGTTTGAGGTTGCTCTGAGCTGTGACGCCACAGCACTCTACCAATAGTAACAAAGTAAGACTCTGTCTCAAAAAAGAAAAAAAAAAAAGGCCAGGCATAGTGGTCTGGGAGGCCGAGGCAGGTGGATAGCTTGAGCTCATGGGTTCCGGACCAGCCTGAGCAAAAATTGAAACCCCATTTCTACTAAGAATAGAAAAACTGAGGATTGCATGAGCTCAAGAGTTGGAGGTTGTTGTGAGCTGTGAGGCCATGGCACTCTACCTAGGGCTACAGCTTGAGACCCGTCTCAAAAAAAAAAAAAAAAAGTGAAAGGTGGCTCACTATTACCTGATTCTTTCTCGTATAACATGCTTTTCTAACAAAAGTCATCCATTCAACTAATATTATTCATTGTGAATTATCTATGGTTGAGTCCTAGTATCTTTACTTTGTTTCTTTATCTGTAAGTTAAAGAGATGCTTCCTTTGAATTGCTTTGGTATTTCTGTTGTTACAAATGAATTAATTAATCAGTGTATTTTTGAGATTGTACTTTTTCCAATAACAATAAAAATAACTAACAAGGCCAGGTACAGTGGCTTATGCCTGTAACCATAGCACTCTGGAAGGCTGAAATGGGAGGATCCCTTGAGCTCAGATGTTTAAGATCAGCCTGAGCAAGAGTGATATCCCGTTTCTATTGAAAAATAGAAAAATTAATGCCATTCTTGTGCTTGCCTGCAGTGCTAGCTACTTAAAGGGACAAGAAGGATCTCTTGAGCCCAGGAGTTTGAGGTTGCAATGAGCTACAATAATACCACTGCACTCTACGTAGGTGACAGAGCAAGTAAGGCTTTGTCTAAAAAAGAAGAAAAAACAACAAAAAACTAACAAATCAAATATTCTGAGCCAGGTGCTAAGGTTTTTACATAGGATATCTCATTTAATCTTCATGAAAACCCTGGCTCGGTACCTGTAGCTCAAGCGGCTAAGGCGCCAGCCACATATACCAGAGCCTGGTAGGTTGGAATCCAGCCTGGGCCTGCCAAACAGCAATAACAACTACAACCAAAAAATGTCTGGGCGTGGTAGGCGCCTGTAGTCCTAGTGACTTGGGAGGATGAGGCCAGAGAATCACTTAAGCCCAAGAATTGGAGGTTGCTATGAGCTGTGAGCATTCTACCCAGGGTAACATCTTGAGGCTCTGTCTCAAAAAAGAAATCTTCATGAAAACCCTAAGAAGTACATAATTTATTGAACCCATTTAAAGATGAGAAACCCATTTAAAGTTCAGAAAGTTTTCTATGGTATATGTACATCATGGAATACTATGCAGCCATAAAGAAAGATGGAGACTTTACATCCTTCATGGAGCTGGAAAATGTTCTTCTGAGCAAAGTATCACAAGAATGGAAGAAAAAGTATCCAATGTACACACCGCTATTATGAAATTAATTTATACCTTTTATATGAAAGCTATAACCTAATAACAGCCTAAGAATACGGGGAGGGGGGAGGGAGAGGGGAAGGGGGAATGGGTGGAGGGAGGGGGATTGGAGGGATCACTTTTGAGGTTTATCTTACAAGGGTACAAGTGAACCTTTCTAAGAGTAGAATATGAACATTTTGGCACAATAACTAGGTAAATGACATGAAGGCTATGTTAACCAGTTTGATGAAATGTTTCAAATTGTATGTGAAAACACCACACTGTACCCCAGAAGTGCATTAATGTATATAGTTACCATTCAATTAAAAAAAAAATAAAGTTCAGAAAGTTTTAGTAACTGTTCCAATCTCTCTGTACCTGACTATAAAGCCCACACATTCAGTAACTACACTATTATTATCATTTATAGTATTTTATGTTTCACTTTTTCCTAATTTAGCTGATGGTGTTGCATTGGGAGCTGCAGCTTCTACTTCACAAACTAGTGTCCAGTTAATTGTGTTTGTGGCAATAATGCTACATAAGGTAAGCAAAATATTGGTGTAAGACTTGATATTGGGCTCGGCACCTGTAGCTCAAGCTAAAGCACCAGCCACATACACCAAAGCTGGCGGGTTCGAATCCATGCCGGGCCTGCCAAACAACAATGACAACTACAACCTCACCCCTCAAAAAATAGCCAGGCATCGTGGTGGGCGCTGTTGTCTCAGCTACTTGGAAGATTGAGGCAAGAGAATTGCTTAAGCCCAGGAGTTGGAGGTTGCTGTGAACTGTGACGCCACAGCACTCTACCCAAGGCTACAGCTTGAGGCTCTGTCTCAAAAAAAAAAAAAGACTTGATATTGAACACAGTAATCATTAAAATTTCTGTTGGTCCTTAATATTTTTCTGGAATAGAAAAATAGTTTCATAATTGGTTTTCATTTTGGAGAATTGGATAACTCTCTTTTTAGCTATTTTTTGTTTTTTTGTTTTTTTTTTTTTCATGGTTAAAGACTGCTTTATTGGTGGCAGTTAGTACAAGTCAATAAATATTGATCCCCAAAGAAGAGCTCAGTTACTCATCAGTTTACTGGTCCATACAGAGCTAAATGAAAGTGAACCAAGTGATCACTGGGATGACTGAAGTCAATCCTGCTTCTTGGGAAATGAAGCCATAGCCAGCTGATATATGGCATATGCTGTTCCACCAACTGTAAGAACCATGGTGGCTCTATACAGGAGGGCATCAGCCAGCCCACCCTTTAGGTGAACTGGAATCCCATTATCCTCCTGAAACAGCTTTTGCTTCTCTGGAACTTTATTTTCAAAATGCCTGCGTGAAGCAGTGCTTATGGTCCTCTGCGAAATCTGACGGAGACCCAACAGATTCCGCAGCATCTTGCCTCAGTTACTGCCCACCAACCGCGACAACTGAATGCAGAGCTTAGCTATTTTTTGTTAACCATTTTTTAAACTTTACTTCTGAGGGGTTTTTTGTGATTATATACAGCAACTGTTAAACTCTATATTTCATTGTAATTTTTGTTCAGCAGTATTTTTCTTTTCATCACTGTTTCCCTTTTCTACTATCCAAGAAACACACACAAGTAGGATTTCTTCTTAGCTTAGAACATTAATTTTTAAAAGGCATAATTCAGTCTTGGTACTATGCCTGGTTTTTTGGCATGAGAAATCATAATCAAATGACATGAATTTCTTGAGTAGAAGAAATCTATACTTCTAGAATAATAATACAGGATAACTTTTAATTTCTAGGCACCAGCTGCTTTTGGGCTGGTTTCCTTCTTAATGCATGCCGGCCTAGAACGGAATCGAATCAGAAAGCACTTGCTGGTCTTTGCACTGGCAGCACCAGTTATGTCCATGGCGACATACTTAGGACTAAGTAAGGTAAGCTGACCTATTCCTAGCTTATCTGGGCAAGTGCTAAGTTCTGTGATCTCTTAGAAAGTATGGTTTTTTATGTTATGTAAATCACCCTTTCAAACTAAAGGTAAAATTGGGAGTAAAAATCTGTACACGGTAAATATCTTAAATTCCAAGGTTATTCTCCCCAAAACTTTAATGTTTCCTTATTTAATTTGAAAACATCTTCCCTCTCAGTTCCAAGAATATTTTCACAAATATCTGCTGGTCCTTCAGTGTTTAAAATCACTTAAACTTAACCAGCTGTGCTAATTTTATTTGACAGATATGTACTAAGTCATATCCATCCATATTTAATGTTGAGGTAGGCACATAAAGCATGAGTGACAAGCCATGTGGTAGCTTTCAGGAGCTGAGCAGAGGTGGCTGTATTTGCTAAGATTCAAATTCTTCCACTGCCAGCTCTAATTATCACCAAATATTAAATATCCAGTTCCTCATCATTGTCCTAAACGTAGCTTGAGACCTGAGTGACATGTGTCATTTGTCAGCTCAGAGTCTGGGCACTCTTCCTTTTCCAAGCTGGACTTTTCTGTGCCTTATAGTTCTATCTTTGCTGCAGTTCTTAGCACCAACTCTCACGTATTTTACCTAAATATCAACTGGGAAGCCACTGGAGGAAAATCTTAGCACCAAACTGACTCAGAGCAAATTCATGGGAACTGCTTTCTCCTGTGTCCTCTCTAAAGGTCACTAAGTGTCCATTGAATTAGTATTTGATATAGTAAAACCTATATTACCAGGAGTATATGAAAAATGAGATGCTTAAGTTCCTATTAATCAAGCATTTGCTGATCTCACTTGCTAACAATGTGTTATAAAACTCCTTTCCATTCACCTGAAGAGCCTTATCTTCTTTCAATCAATGAACATTATGTACTTCCTTATAATTTCATTAGTCAATATAAAGTTTTAGAACTTTTGAGAGGAAGCCACTGATAATTCTGGAGACGTGGAGTTACTTGCATCTATATCATGTTCTTAAAATTTTATTTTATTTTTTGGAACAGATTCTCACTTGGTCACCCTCTGTAGAGTACTATGGTGTCACAGCTCACAGCAACCTCAAACTCTTGGACTCAAGCAATTCTCTTGCCTCAGCCTCCCAAATATCTGGGACTCCAGGTCCCTGCCACAACACCTACCTGTTTTTGGAGATGGGCTCACTCTGGCTCAGGCTGATCTTCAACTTCTGAGCTAAGGCAATCCACCTGCCTCAGCCTCCCAAGTGCTAGGATTACCATGCCCAGCTCATGAGCTAATCTTTATAAAACTACTTTCAACTGTTTCTATTAGGAAAGTGGATCTGTGGACGAAGATGACAAATTAAAATTTTAAGAACACGGCTGGGTGCAGGCCTGTAGTCCCAGTTACTTTGGGAGGTTGAGGCAGAAGGATTACTTGAGCCCAAGAGATTGAGGTTGCTGTGAGTTATGATGCCACCGCACTATACCAAGGGTGACAAAGTGAGATTCTGTCTCAAAAAAATAAAATTAAATTAAAAAGATTAGCTCATGATATACTTCTAAGCTCTGTAAGGAAATCTTGATTACCACTATATCTCAAGCACCTGGCCTAGAGCCTGGTCCCTAGCAGATGCTTATTAAATGTTTGTAAAATAAAGGAATTAATGTTTGAACTTTAATATCTGCATTAATAGGTTTTTGATTCCATCTCAAAAATAATACAGACCACATCTGTTCAACAAGCACTTGGAATTCCTTTTTAAGAGCAATTGCGGGCTAGGTGCAGTGGTGGAAGCTTATTTGGAAGCTTCCCATAAACAACCTAAAACTGCTCTGATCTCAATATGTCTCCAGTGACCCAGACAGTACCAGTTACAAATAGTGTTTTTTCATTGGGATAACTTCCTAACCCTGAACTTTCCTTGTCTTAATTATTCTTCTTTCTCTCTTTTAATTCACAGAGCAGTAAAGAAGCCCTCTCAGAGGTTAATGCCACTGGAGTGGCCATGCTCTTCTCTGCCGGGACATTTCTTTATGTTGCTACCGTACATGTTCTCCCTGAGGTGGGAGGAATGGGGCACAGCCACAAGCCCGACACCACTGGAGGGAGAGGCCTCAGCCGCCTGGAGGTGGCAGCTCTGGTTCTGGGTTGCCTCATCCCACTCATCCTGTCAGTAGGACACCAGCATTAAATGTCCAGGTTCCAGCCTCAGTCTGTGGCCATTTGCCATCCAGTGAGGATAGCCGGCAACTGGCACGTGACAGCTCCTCACTTCTCAGTCTCTTCTCTCGTCTTGCCCATCTCCACCTGTATTCCTAGAGTCCAGAGGGGGGTGAGATTAAAACCTGGAACAATGGAAAAGCTTTTAGAGTAGAAACAACACATTGCAATTAGCTATAGACATTCCGTTGTGTTGTCTTTTAAAGGGCCCTTGGCATTATGAGTTTTGATGCTTCTCTTAACCCTATTCTCAGGGAAGATGGAATTCAGTTTTAAAGAAAAGTGGAGAACTTCATACTCAATGAAATAGTAATTATGAAAATACAGTGTTCTGTAATTAAGCTAAATCTCTTTTCAGTTTAGAGGCTCTGCCACTTCCATCCATTGATGTTTAACATGGTTCTCACCATGTAAGACTGGTGCTTTAGCATCTATGCCACATGCCTTGATAGAAGGTCATAGCGCTCACTGTTAGATGCTAAAGGTGATTGCAGTTAATTCAGGATTAGAGTCAGGAGAATGACGGCAAGACGCATTGTAAAGGGATGACTAGAGAGACTTAAACCGCTCCTTGTGCACAGGCCTGTCTGAATGCAGAATGCAGTTCCATCACATGGAGCAGTGGAGGTGGGACTAGCTTTTAAGGAGGTGACTAGTATTTTGTAGCATTTCTTTTCAAGTTCTCCTTTGCAGAATACCTGCCTCCAGCACATTCTTATAGAGGTGCCAAGTTCTAATAGTTTGAAGCCTAGGCTTTCCTTCACGAACTGTCAGATCACAAAAAGCATCTTTGGAAATTAAGGGATGTTAGTTTTTAAGTGAATTTGGATAGTTACTGACATCTTTGTTGTAGTAGCCTTTTTAAATGTAAGACTACCAGAAGCTATGTTGTCTTTTTTTTTTTTTTAAGCATCTCTCTTGGCAAGTCAGCCTCTGGTTTAGGGAGCTGTGTCTGCCCATACAACCACCTATAGCAGTGAAGAACGTGAAGGTGGATCATAAACGGAAGTGCATGCCTGTTGATTTAAAACTTAGTGAAATCATGTCTCTTGTCTCTTCATCTTTCCCGTGATTTTCTCTTAACTTTCCCTCTAGCCCCTCCTCCCTACAATTTGCTGCTTTACTGCTGGTGTTAATATTTGTGTGAGATGAATTCTCATCAGGACAACCACTTTTGAACTGTGATGATGAAAACAATAATGTCTTTACTCTTCATACCCTTCAAAGAAGTTACTTTTATGTCAGATCAGCTTTGTCAAGCCCTTAAAATATCACCTTCACATATGTGAGTTGACACAATCACTAATATTCTGGCAATTGAGATAGCAAAAGTGTTTAATAAACAAACGTAATTTTTCCATATTTGCCAAAATCTATGTAACCCTATTTTGTCAAATATTTGTAAAATATTGTATTATTAATTTATTTTGACTTTCTGTGTCATTTCAGAACATACTACGTTAAGGAGGAACTACGACTAGTTTCTTCAGGGCAGTGGATTTAGTAGTTTATAAAAACATTTTATATGCTGCAGAGCCAGCATGACCACGATTTCTTTATCCTTAAATTTGTCACTGGGTCAGTAGCTGTGGAAATAAAACTTAGGAAGCCCTCTGCTGGCTGTAGTGTAGAAAGTAGCATGAATAGGACGTGGTTTTGTTTAGTCACTGGCAACCATTGTGTACAATTTAAAACCAAGAAAAGGTTCAGCATGGAAAGTGTAAGTAACTTCCCTGATTAGATGGTAACAACTAACTTACGAGAGACCTGGGGCTTCATCTGGTCCTTCAAAATTATATGGTTGCCTAGATTCTCTCTGGAACTGACTTTGTCCAATAGAGAGCAGGTCGTAGTGTCTGGTTTGGTTTGGATAGTAGTACTGTCTATCATATTGTGTGTGCAATGGTCAGAATTTGTTCTGCTGGCCAAATCCTCTTTCAGCAGTGCCTTGCCATCATGCTTAAAAGTTTGGCTAAAATATCTTGCTGGATAGGGCCTTGAACTCTGGCAAGGATTGAACCATTCTAACTTCCAAATTTGCCTTCCCTTCTCAACCTGACTATTAACAGGCAAACCTTTCAAGGTCCTACCAGCTCTGAGAAGCTGTGGGCTTCCCCAGATTTTAAAGCTGCTGCCTCAGGAACTACTTATTTCTCTCCTGGTCAGCAGGCAGACATAGCCATATAACTCTCATAGGGCTCAAACCTATCTCCAGGCAGCAGGGAACCAAGCAGTGTGTGGTGGAGGCCTCCTTCACTGGAGGAAGAGCTTGCTTACGTGGTGGGCAGCGTCCCAGGAGAGGCCATGTCCATGTTCACTTTCTGACACATTTTGTTCCATTTTCCTCTTGTTTAAAACTGCCTCTTTAGATGTGGATGCCTTAATGCTCTAACACATTTGAAAACCTTGGCAATACTTAAGTTGCTGCCGTGATTACAAATGGAATTATTGGCTACCAAAGAGATGCAATTGATGATGAAAAGCATGGTCCTTCCTTCTACATAACCAAAGTGAATCTTAATTAAAATTTGACTCCTTTCCTTGGTAGGGGTAGATTTGCTTCAGATTCCAAGTGCTCTCATAATGGCAGATTAAGTTGAAAAATACTACTGATCCATTCCCTTCATTTATTCTCCAGTTAATTGCTTATCAGTTCTCATTTCATCAAAGCAGTGATGTTCCAGGTGTGATTCGGTTTTCCTGTGCACGCTTTGTCACATTTCTTATTTTTTAGGCAGAGGTTCTGCCTGGGACGTGGTGAGTTGAAAGCAGTACTACCTACAGAGACTGTGTGTTCTCTTTCCCCTCCTTTCACCTTTTCATTTCCCAACTCAAAACAGCCTAGTCAATCCTGTTCTTTGAATCATTAGAAAAAAGAAAGGGAGTGGTTGTTTTGAGTTGTCCTTTCAATGTAGAAAGGAGAAAACGTGACTTTTTTTTTTACCAGCCTACTTCTAAGTGTCACTGCCTGGTTTTTCTCTTTTTCATGAATTAGAACTAGGAGGACACACCAGCAAGGGAGTGTGTTAAGCCCCTGAAAACAGCTAAGTACTGACCATGGGAACAGTATGTCAGTAGCACAAGCCCAAAGAATGCTCCTGCCTTTTGGGCCCCTGAGCCCCTGAAGACTAAGAATAGTGACCAGATTCATCCAGAACTGCTGTGGTTCTAGGTGACACCCTCTGTAGCTGTTCTGCAGGGGGAACGAACCTTCCTTGCATTAGAAAACATCTGCTCAGTAGGAAACAGTCCATATCACCCAAAGATACTATGGAAATACTATCATTAAAACCAATGATGTACACTCTTTGTATCTGAAACATCTAGATTCACCTCAGGGGACCTGAAAGAAATTACTTGTGGGAAAGAATCAGATAACCATTTAGGAATTATCTGGATGTGCTCAGCCTAACACAGTTGCTTAACACAACCAGATTGCCTTTGATCTTTTCTCTGATGACATCTTCCAGCAAGCTGGGAATCTCATGGGATAACACTGCAGTTCCCCTGGTTCAGTAGCTGGAACAGTGGTTTTAAATGTCCATTTTTTCTGGATCCTTTGTAAACATGAAATCATTCCATGGATGGCTGCCTTATAATTTTTGTCTCTTTCCTCTTTAATTGTGAATGGTTAAAACAATGCTGTTTTCTGATTTGTTTTATGATATTAAATTTTTATTAGTGCATATCTAGTGCAAGTGGCTCATTACTTTGTTCTGTTGGCATGTCTTTTTGACAACCAGACTTGACCCACATTTAGACATCACAAAAGGGAATGGAAAGCTAGGAAGGGCAGTAGAAAGATGCACCTACTATAGGTACATTATTAAGCGAAGGGAAAAAAAGAAAGGCGGGGATATTAAGGATTCAGTAGATTTTCTGTCCCCAAAACACAAATTCATTAACAATTTTTTTGCCTTGCTGTTCTCGGTAACAAATGTTATTTGTGTAGGTAGTTCTCCATGCCTAGAAAAGAGAAGCAGGCAGGAGATCACAGTGACAGTGGATCTGTTTCAAAGGGCAGAGTTGTTACATGAGTATATAGATGCTGTGAACAAGTGACCCTGCCCTGTAAATAGAAATGGAACTTGTCAATTTGATAAGTGTTTTCTGGGTGGCGCCTGTGGCTCAAAGGAGTAGGGCACTGGCCCCATATACCGAAGGTGGCAGGTTCAAACCCGGCCCCGGCCAAAAACTGCAAAAAAAAAAAAAAAAAAAATACACTTGATAAGTGTTTTCTCCCTCTGTGGACTTGACTGCTGATGCTCATTTTTAACTTAAATATGTATATGTGCCATTAGAGCAGTACATCATGGAAGTGTATAATTTTTATGTGTATCCATTAGATTTCATTGATTATTACTGGTCCGCATCATGCTGGTTTTCTGTGTTATCACATGTGTTACAGCTAGTTACAGAGACTGTGCCCAGAAAGTTACATGTTTCCCTAAAACTTCTCCTCATGAAGAAGATGACCCGCAGAGGACGTGGCGTTTACAATTCTTTCCATCTCTACAGAGGCTTTCAGAAGTGCTGCATCCCTCCTCTGCCTTGAGCAGTGGACTTTGAAATCTTAGGAATTCAACATTGTGCCCTTTCCCTCCGCCACCCTGAAATGTTCACACAATGAGGAAATGGACTAATGACCCATTTTTCAGAACCTGTCCCTGTTGGTAAACAGCATATGGCTCTATATGTCTTCACTATGTCCTTCCCCACTAGGATGTAGGCTCCAGGCAGCTAGGTTCTCAGTAATTAATTGTTGTTAAATGAATCGGTCTGTCCTGAGAGAGGGGACACTTTTTTTTTTCTTTACAATGTGCTGGTTTTATATACAATTTGAAATATTTTCATCAAACTGGTTAACATAGCCTTCATGGCATTTTCGTAGCTATTATGTTAAGACATTTATATTCTTCATTTAGTAAGTTTCACATGTACTCTTGTAAGATGCACCATAGGAAAAAACATGTCAAGATAGTATGATGCAGAGAGTTAGACGGGCCCCCTTTTTGACATGAAGCCAAGAGGGTTTCAAAGGAATTTGCCTGAGGTCTTTTCATTGAATAAAAATGGGGCTGGGCAGTGCCTGTGGTTCAGTAGGGCGCTAGCCCCATACCGAGGGTGGTAAGTTCAAACCTGGCCCTGGCCAAACTGTAACAAAAAATAGCTGGGTGTTGTGGCTGGTGCCTGTAGTCCCAGCTACTCGGGAGGCTCAGGCAAGAGAATCGCCTAAGCCCAAGAGCTAGAGGTTGCTGTGAGCTGTGATGCCATAGCACTCTACTGAGGGTGACATAGTGAGACTATCTCAATAAATAAATAATAAATGGCTATGGACTTACTGGCCAGCCTCAACACATCCACCCCCCCCCCACCACAAATAAAACATGCTTGCTCTTAGAAGCCAAATTAATGTATATGTTTTAATACACACATCACCCCTGAGGGAGCACTATGCTTCCTGCAGCCATGCCCTTGGCTACTGAGAGCTGTTAATACTGTAAAGTGGCTGGGTGGGGGGAAGGTGTGAACTAAAAATCCTAAGCCATGTCACTGGCTGAACAGACCCCATGCTGGCCAATGGGACCTTAGAGAAACCTTAAAACTTAGTTCCCCATGATGGGATGAGAGGTCCCTCTCTAACAGCCATCAAGCTTTCTTCCCAAAGGCTAAACAGAGAGCCCAATCTTGCTATTGAGCCTTCCTTTTTGAGGTTTAGGTAAGACAGCTGACCAGCATTCCTTCCTGCTGAGGGAACATCTTTATTCAATGAAAAGGCCACTGACCAGTGTACTGAGGCTGCACAGAGAGAGCTTTTGAGACCTCTGCTTCACCTTTTAACATCAGAGGGCCCAAAACTCTACCCTTGTATCATGCTAAGGCCACTGTTTTCTGACCATAGATCTCATGAAGGGACATGGCATGTGCTTGCTTTTCCTTTCATACATACTCACGACTGCTCTTACAACTTGTTAAACATGTATGTGCAGCCACCTTGCTCTGCAAAAATTTCTGTTCTTTTGCCTTTGCTGCAAACTACATGCTCTGGGCTTCTGCGGAGGCTGTGGCTTCCTACCCTGCAAGATGGTCAGCCTGCACAGTGAGACCCCAACTCTCAAAAAGAGAGAGGCTCAGCACCTGTAGCTCAGTGGCTAGGGTGCCAGCCACATGCACCAGAGCTGGCAGGTTCAAATCCAGCCCAGGCCTGCCAAACAACAACTACAACCAAAAAATAGCCGGGCATTGTGGTTGGCTACTGTAGTCCCAGCTACTTGGGAGGCTGAGGCAAAAGAATCACTTAAGCCCAAGAGTTTGAGGTTGCTGTGAGTTGTGATGCCATGGCACTCTACCCAGGGCGACACAGTGAGACTCTGTCTCCAAAAAGAGAGAGAGAGTTGAACATGAAGCAAATTGAAATCAGAGGGAGCGGTGGGGCTGAGAGAACACCCAGAAAGCTCAGTGATTGTCCATAGTTCACACAGCTAACGATAGAGCCTGGACTTGAACCTGCCTTAACACTAAAAGCAGGTGATAAGTCTGCCATCTCAATTGCTTTCTCATTCATTCTTAACCACCCACAGATTCTGTTTTATGGAGGAGGAGAAGCTGAGGACCTCTGAGGTCAGTGTCCATTGGGTTGACAAACTGAAACAGGAAACTGCGGCACCTGAATAGAGGGGAAGGGGAAGACAGGGGAAGACAAATTAATTTGTCAAACATCTGTTGAAGACCTACTACATGCCCCGGACTCTGTCCTCAAGAAGCTCAGGGAAGCAAACACACAAAGAAAAATTCCAAGTGGCTCGGTGCCTGTGGCTCAACCAGCTAAGGCGCCAGCATACACCTGAGCTGGCAGGTTCGAATCCAGCCCGGGCCCGCCAAACAACAATGATGGCTGCAACCAAAAAAATAGCCAGGCTTTGTGGTGGGCGCCTGTGGTCCCAGCTACTTGGGAGGCTGAGGCAGGAAACTCGCTTGAGCCCAGGAGTTGGAGGTTGCTGTGAGCTGTGATGTCACAACACTCTACCCACAGGGACAGCTTGAGGCTCTGTCTCAAAAAAAGAAAAATTCCAAGCAAGGACATGTGCTAGAATGGATGGCTGAGCAATGGTCCACAGGAACAAACGGATGTAGTTTTTGCTGAAATTGTTGCCATAAATAGAGTGCGATGGTGTCGGCCTTGCTCACAACAACCTCAGCCCTGTAATCCTAGCACTCTGGGAGGTCAGGCAGGAGGACCCCTTGAACTCAGGAGTTTGAGACCAGCCTAACTGAGAGTGAGACCCTATTGAAAAATCAAAACTTTGCTGGACATTGTGGTGGATGTCTATAGTCCCAATTACTCGGGAGGCTTGAGGCAGAAGAATCATTTGAGCCCAGAAGTTCAAGGTTGCTGTGAATAAGGCTGAGACCATTGGGCTCTAACCTAGGCAACAGAATGAGACTCTGTATCAAAAGCAAACCAAGCCAAAACTTTTTTTTTTTTTTTTGAGACAGTCTGACTCTGTGACCCTGGGTAGAGTGTCGTGGTGCCACAGCTCACAGCAATCTCCAACTTTCGGGCTCAAGCGATTCTCTTGCCTCAGCCGTCCAAGTAGCTGGGAGTACAGGCGCCTGCCACAACGCCTGGCTATTTTTTGGTTGCAGTTGTTTGGCAGGCCCAGGCTGTATTCTAACCTGTTCCAGTGTATGTGGCTGGCGCCCTAGCTGCTGAGCTACAGGCGCCGAGCCCAAAACAAGAACTTCTGCTTTTGGCCTCAGGGTGATCTTTCCATACAGCCCTAACCACTGTTAAGTCAGGTCTTTTCAGATGTCCTGTATGCAGAGTCCAGAATTGGCAAAGATTTCACTTCTCTTCTGCCATTGAAGAGAACTGTGCTCCATTTCTCACGTGGGGAAACTAAGTCTTTCCCAAGATTTTCTGGGAACACTCAACCCTTCTTGTGAAGGATTTCTTTTGAATGATTTTAAGTATCATGCCATCCTCTGGCCCATGGCTCACAAGCTTGTCACTTTACTAGTCTTTATTGCATGCAGCCAAAGTTTCTACTAACTTGATTCAGCAGAGAATAAATGAATTTACTAAAAGGATATTGGGAGGGCCAGAGAACCAGGCCTGAGGGTAAAGCTTCCAGGAAGTATGGCCAAAACCAAGCCGCAAAGCTCTCTGCTGAGAAAGCTGTAGCTGCCACAGAGCATCTGCTGCTATGTGTGCGCCACCCGCCAGAGCAGAGCTGACATCCAGAACAAGTCAGGTGCTTTTGCTACCACATTCCCTTGAAAAGTGCGTGCCTGTGCATGCTTTTTCCTCATGTTTGCACTACAAATCAAAGTTCTGTCCCAGGGCCTCTCACTGCTGAGCTCCGCACCACAGGCTACTAAAGCAAGTTCTTCAGCTTCCATCTTAGAAAAACAAGACTCTTAAAGTGGGAAAATTTCCATGTGTTAGAACATGTGTCGAAACTAGGCAAAACCCAAAAAACCAAACAATGACAAAAAGAAAAAGCCACAAACCCATGTGAAATGTCCACTTTGTGCTCTAGCCCTGGCTTCCATCATCTTCCCAGTGCTGTCTCCTCCCATGTAGTGGAGCAGGGCCCTGGACCCTATCTTAAGGCCCAGCCTGAGATGTTCTGCAGAGGCACTTGAGCCACGAGAGAAGCACAGGGAATTCAGAGGGGCTCCTCTGGACAGTGAGCAACAGTGGGATGCTGCCTGGACTTGGGAAGCTCCTTTAGGAACTCTTTATTTTATTTATTTATTTTTGTGGTAGAGACAGTATCTTACTCTATCGCCCAGGCTAGAGTACAGTGGCCTAATCATAGCTCAGTGTAACTTTAGTGTATCCTGGTTTCAAGCCATCCTCCTGTCTCAGCCTCCTGAGTAGCTGGGACTACTGGTCCATGCCACCATGCTTGGCTAACTTTTAAAGTGTTTTTGTAGAGATGGGTCTTGCTATATTGCCCAGGCTGGTCTCAAAGTACTCCTGGCCTCAAGCGATCCTCTTGCCTAGGCTTCCCATTATATTACTATAATCCTTGCCTAGGCTGGGATTATAGTAAAGAGCCACCGCATCCTGCCCAGGGGCCCTTTCTTAACAGAGTCATTAATGTGAGACCTGGAAGGCCTTGGGAGCATCTAGAGCAGTAGTTCTCAACCTTCCTACTGCCTCGACCTACCAACGAAAATAGTTTTATGGTTGGGGGTCACCACAACATGAGGAACTGTATTAAAGGGTCGCAGCACTGGGAAGGTTGAGAACCACTGATCTAGAGTCACAAATCCAAAGGCCTGCAGGGAGGAGCCAGGCAGGTAAGACACAGGGGAATGATGGAGTAAAGGCTTTCAGTTCAAAAATGTTAAAGTGCTGTGCAAATGCTGATAAGACTGATAGAAGTGGTGGTGGTGGGGATTGACTAGAAAGGAGAGTGAGGGAACTTTCTGGAAGTAATCGAAATGTTCTCCAGCCTGAGCAAGAGTGAGACCGCCTCTCTACTAAAAATAGAAAAATCAGCTGGACATTGTGACAGGCGCTTGTAGTCCCAGCTATTCAGGAGACTGAGGCAAGAGGATGTCCTAAGCCCAAGAGTTTGAGATTGTTGTGAGCTATTATCCCACAGGTGACAGAGAGCCTGTCTCAAAAAAAAAAAAAGAAAGGAAGGAAGAGAAAGAAAGAAAAGGGGAAAACTCCATTTTTTTAAAAAACTTGGGCCAATAAAGTCTTTTCTGTAAACTATTTGGCTCTCAGGTTATTTGCAAAGTTCTGCTCCAATCTGACTTCTTTATTTTACACCTGAGGAATTAGAGACCCTAAGGCAGAAGAGTGGTTTTCCACAAGGGCACAGGTGAGTCAGACAGCCCAGTGGAGATGGCCTGCAGCTGCTAGCTAGGAAAAGGGTGACTGCCGCCTGATGTAGCTTGCAGCCTTTTACTGCGCAATCTCAATTCCTTGCCTTTGGCATGAAGCCAGCAGCTGTGCCAACCTACCATTTCCATCGCCGAGAGGGAGGGAAGCTGTTCCCCGCTCGCCAGCCAGTCTGGTCAGACGTCTGCCCTGGCCTGAAAGCGAGACGGTCACCAAATACCTCCCCAGAAAGGAGAGGAAGTGGATGGAGCACTAGGCCCCAGGGAGTACAGACCAGGAGCGCAGATAAATCACAGACAAACTGCACTGCGATTGGCACTAAGGGCCAAATACCGACACAGTCAAGTTCCAGGGAAGAAATCCGATCAGCGTGAGGCGGCTGCGGAGCAAAGCGAAACCCACCAGAGGGAGCGGGCAGGGGCCACCACCAACCTTGAAGGAAATTCCTCTCCGGGCAGGCACTTCGGGCTTTTCTTGAAGTCTTACCTGGCCACCCGCCTGCCCAAGGAGGTACACGCATATCTACTTTACGGTGAGAAAACCAAGGCTCCCCACGGTTGACTGAGTTGGAATTCCAAGCCGGGTTGTCGGTCACCACGCCCTCGCTCCCTCCTCTCCTCCACCCAGAGGCGAGTAGGTATTTGCTGGAGTGATTCCAAGCCCACCACATCGCAGATGTGTCCCGTTTCCATATGGGCGCTGCACGCGAGAAGGAACCCGGGGGAGTGTTGGGTGCGTGGAGTGGGATTGGGGACCTAGGGCCAGGCGACCCACGGGGACCTTGCGGAAGCTTGGAGCCTGGCCCTCCGGTCGGCGCCCGCCCTGATTGGCGCTCTAGGTGGCCTCCAACACGCTCACCTGCCACTCCCAGCCAATCGGGGCCACCAGAATTAGGGCTGTCGCCTGGAGGGAGGAGGAGATGCTGCCAGCCCGAGGCTAAACCTCCCTCCGGGTGAGTTCCTGCAGGTCCGCCGCAATTTGGAGCCCGAGCCAGCAGCTGCGCGCTCCGCGCCCTTCGGCGCCTCGCCGGGTGCCCAGCGCGCTTTCATGCGACAGCACCAGGCTGGAGTCACTTGGCGTCTCTGCTTGCTAGGGCGCGCCCCGACGGCACCCCGAGCCGCTGGTGGACGCAGCTTTCTCCCTACCTCCCCCTGCTCGCCCTCGCCCGGAGCCCCGCGTCCCTACCCACGCCGGAGGGAAGAGGGTGTTCCGGGCTAGGGGCAGCCCAGCTGAGGCAGGATGTTCATGTCAAAGTCCAACTCTGTGTCACCCTCGCCGTCTCTGGAGCAAGCCGACGCGGACGCGCTGGACATCAGCACCAAAGTGCAGCTCTACGGGGTGCTGTGGAAGCGGCCCTTTGGGAGGCCGTCGGCCAAGTGGTCCCGGCGGTGAGTGTGCCCCACCCTGTGCACCGAGAGGACAGCCAGGGAGGGATCCTCGGCCTAAAGATCCTTCCCACCCCCTCCAGTCACCGTCCTGCCTCTGTTTTCCTGTATGTCCTTGGCCCCACCCTGTTTCACCCTACACTGGCTCCCCTGGAAGATGCAGATTTTAGCTTGGGCTGTGAGGGCTAGGGTGGGACCACCGTCCTGGATGATTGTGAATTCTCTGCGGAACGAATCTAAGTGCCCAGTGAAGAAGTTGGTTGGGTGTGGGCAGAAGAGATCGTGGCCTTGTTCGAAGCCCAGAAGGTTCAGTCGGGCCAGGTTCTGCCTTGGAGGGTGAAACGCCATCTCTAGCCAAAGATATTCTCCTGGGACCCCACTGTCAATGTCAACCTCTTCACAAGCCCCCTCCCCACGCCCTGAGAAGCAGGCTCAGAAGTGGGGCACCAGTGTCCCCTTTGGGAGGGCTGCCATGGCCCTTAGGAAAGGCTGTGCTGGGGGGCTGTGCTCACCCCTGGGGAAGCGATGTTGGCAACCTCTCCAACTCTCCCTTGAATTTTTTTTTTTTTTGAGACAGAGTCTCACTATGTCTCCCTGATAGAGTGCTGTGACATCATAGCTCACAGCAACCTCAAACTCTTGGGCTTAAGCTATTCTCTTGCCTCAACCTCCCAAGTAGTTGAGATTACAGGCACCCACCACAATGCCCTGCTATTTTTTGTTGCAGTTGTCATTGTTGTTTAGCTGGCCGCAGCTGGGTTCAAACCCACCAGTCTCAGGTGTATGTGGTTGGTGCCAAGCCTGAAATAATTTTTTAAAAAGAATAGAGGGAAAAGAGATTCCAGTGCTTTAGGCAGGGATAGGGGGAGTGGGGTGTGAGGGAGAAGGGGTAGACTGATCCAGTGGAAAGACTGATGCTTTGGAGGCTGTGATGAGGAGAGCCAGAACTGCAATAGCCAGTCCGTCAGCACCAACTCTCCAGTCCCCTGATGGCCATCCCCACCATCCATTTACAAATGGCCCTGGGAGGGGTTGGGAGCTCTCAACTTGGATCAGGTGCTATGGGCCATCTCCTGGATAGTTTTCACCCTCAAGTCAGTTTCAGTTCTGAGATTTGTTACTGGTGTGACCTAGAGAACTCGGACCCTGTCCCAGCCCTCCCCTGGAGTTAAGACCTGTTCAGGTAATAAGGGGTGTCCAGATGCTCCCTCCCCACCCCACACTATGAGTGAGAGTCTGTCCCTGAGCCGAGGAGAGGAGACCTCAAACGTTCCCAGGACCACAGATAATGTGGATGTGGTAGTGGCTGGTGCTGATGTTCTATTCTGATGAATAATTTAATGTTTCTATAAGACCGCAGAACAAATGGAGCTGTGGACAGTGTCAGTATCTTACATTTTACATAGCTGGTTTCAGGGACTTTTGTTACTTCTGATGGGTTTCCCTCTGGGATTTAATGGCATATGTCTCCTTGAATTCTGCCAAAGTTAAGCTTATCTCTGATCCCCTGAAGAGAGGCTTGGGGCAGCATGGAGAGTATTTGGGGACTGCCATAGTCATCCTATCTGAGCTGCAGTCCCTGGAAGCCAGGAGCAGCCTTTTCTCTGCCAGGGCACTCAAGTGGGGGTAGGAAGGGTGCATGGAGATTCAAGTACCATTAGCAGAATATTCCCCCGCACCCATCTCTCTTCTGCCCCAGCTGTTTCAGGCAGACAACCCTTTTCCGTTGGGTCTGGCTTCTGTGGGTAGTGTTGCCTCTGGGTCTTGCCAACTAAGACTACTCTTGCCAGACATTTTCACCTGATCTCATCTTTCCTAGTAAATGCTAGCTGCCTATGACCCTTGGGGCATGTTCCTTATCCCCTTCACCATGGAGGCACATTGGGAACCTGGTCCTTGCACCCACTGTTGGTTCCTGACCAGTGTCAGGGTTCTAGTCACCCAGCTAAAAGCACAGCGGGGATGGGGAAATGAGCCAAGCTTAGAGGGCTTTTGCATCCTCCACCCCAAGAATCTCCATCACTAGTTTCCACAGACACCCCCAAGAATCCAATCTAAGTCAGAACCATGTGAATGGTCTGCAAATACAGTTTCAAGTCAAGTCCTCTTCCAAGGACATTGCCATCCTGGGTCCCTGTCCTAGGAATGCTGGAGCTGCCACTGTGCAGAGTCTTCCTTCTGTGGGGCTCAGGAAAGAACTTAACATCCCACCTCTGTGCATCTTCCCAGTTCTGGGAATACACAACACACATGTGTGTGCGTGCGCACACACACACACACACACACACACACACGATTTAGCCTTGGATGGGCGACAGAGCCAGCCAGGGAGAGTCGGGGTACAGAGTAGTCATGATGCTCATCCCTGTCTTGCTTCCCAACTTCCCATCAGGCCCCTCTAGTTCCCGATTTCCCATTTCTAAAGTGGAGTCTCTTGACTGAGGTAATTAGCAGCCACAGGAAGGGTTGGGGACAGAGCAGCTCAGGCCCTCCACTGCACAGCCTTGCTATTAGAGCAATCGATGCCCTGGCTAGGACAGCTAAGGGGAGGAGGTCTGGAAAGGCTTGAGCTGCATTAATAACCAGTGGGCGGGATAGAACCGGTTGTGGCTGGCTGGTTCTCTAAAAATCTCTTCCGCTCAGAATCTGTCTTAGGACGTGTGCCTCCAGCCCTCACTGCCCAAGCAGCCCTGCCTTCCTGAGGAAGGAAGATGACTTTGAGCTGTAGGTTCAGCTTATTTTCCCATAGGCAACAAAAGGGAAAGGGAATCTAAATAATTAATTAGTAGAGATAAGAAAATCAGAGAGAGATGTCTAGAAGGCAAGGCTGACCGCTCTGTCCTCCCCTTGGTCTGTGAAATGTGGAGAGAGATACAGGTATAAGAACATGGACAGCTACAAGACATGGAGAAAGGGAGTAGGGGGTCTGAGCCTTGGCCAAGGTCAGCCAGGCTGACTCCTGGGGTTTAACACTTTCACCAGCATTCTAGCCCCTCTCCCAAATCCCTTCTGAACACCTTCTAAGGCCAATTCCCTCCTGCAACAAGGGCATCCATATTCCTACTTGTCCTTCCTCCCCCAGGGACAAGGTGGTCTGAGCCCAGCCTAGTAGCAGTTTTCTCTTGTAGAATATTGGTGATCCCTGCCTCAAGGAGCTAAGTTTCATGGTGTCTACCAGGTGCCAAGCAGAGCCATGGAGATAGTGGCCACATGTCCCTAATCTCAGGCTATCACCTGCATAGGTGTGAGAAGATTGTCCCTACAGGGGGTGGTCACCATACCAAGAAGATTTGAGGAGCCTTTCTTCAACAGGGATTTGAGGCCCAGGGTTTTGTCTTTGGCTCTGAGCACCGCTTCTCAGAGGAGACACTAATACTGGATTTTCCCAGAGGGCTGAAGGAAGAGCCTAGGGTCAGCTGCATGGTCCCAGGCTCAACCTTACCCTCACCCTCAGGATTCTGTGTTTGGTCTCATTTTCTGGCTCACGTGGCATTCCCCACAGCTGGCTGTGAGAGGTGTAGCTTTTCCACTGTGGAAGGTGCCTGGAGGATCCCCCTTTTAAATCAACCTCTGTTCTCCGAATTTCTACTAGAGAGGTGGGGTATGGGGCAGGGATTCTGCTAACAGTGTGTGGGAAGGCTGGGAGGTGACAGAGCGGGGCTGCTCTTTCAACACTGATGAAGGGAAAGGGCTTGGGGGACAGTGTCTCTGCTTCCAGAAAAAAACAATGATCAATTTACTCTGAAGATTTCATAGTGTTTTCCGTTCTCCAGCTCTGCCTTCTCTATTCAGGGCTGTTGTTCACCCAGGCACCGAGGCAGGGCGAGGAGGGGTAAGAAGACTTGTCTGCATCTCCCTAGGTCCCGGTACCCAGAACCCCCTGCTCCTTCTGAGGTGGTGGGCTCAAGGCTAAGGAGATGGGCACAGTCTCCGGACCATGCAGCCATAAAATGAAATAATGCTGGCTAAGTCAGGCCTCACTGGGGTCATTTGAGGAGCTGCCCAGCCCAGGTCTGCCAAAGTGAAGTGAGTCAGACTGTGCAAACAAGTCATGCTCCTTCCCCACTCCCCTCCTCAAGGAGCTGCCCTTGTGGTAGTTGATGGCCTGTTTGAAAGCCTCACCTCTGTATACCCATGTGTGGGCCAGATCTCAAGCTGGCAGGTGGCTCAGCATCCTTATGTCTGGGACTTAAAAATATGCAGTTTCTCAGAGCAGCCTTGGGCATGGTGGAAACTGAATCTATCCAGGCTGGAGGGCAGGAATTCCAATCCTGGCCCTGCCAGGCACCAGCTGTATGACCCAGGCCATGGCCTGTCACCTCACTGGCCAGCAATGTGTCTTCTGCACAGTAGAGGTAGGACGGCTTTTAAACTGTGCTCTACAGATGATTGTAAGGGTACCTTGAGTATACCACCAGCCATGGGGAGCAGGGTGCAGAGCCTCAAGGCTGCCACCCACTTCTACCCACACCTCCGTGCTGGCACCACTCTTACTTACTGAGCCTGTCTTTACCATATTGTTTGGCAAGTTCTGCTAAAAGTTTTTTGCACTACCTTGGACTTGATCTATCCATGAATCACAGCATGTTGTGACTCAGAAACTTCCCAGGCAGGGTGCCTGCTGTGCCAGCGTCTCCAGATGGGCCAGGATGAGTGTTCCTGAACTTAACAGGTCACCCAGAATGGCCTAGAGGGGACACACATTGGGAGCTGTGTCTTTTCTACTTTCCTTCTGTCACTTTTTTTTTTTTTTTTTGAGACAGAGTCTCCCTTTGTCACCCTCAGTAGAGTGCCATGGTGTTGTAGCTTACAGCAACCTCAAGCTCTTGGGCTCAAGTGATCCTCTTTAGTCTTCCAAGTAGCTGGGACTACACATGCCTGCCACAATGCCCGGCTATTTTTAGAGACAGAGTCTCGCTTTTGCTCAGGCTGGTTTCGAACTCCTGAGTTGAAGCGATCCACCTACCTTGGCCTCCCAGAGTGCTAGGATTTCAAGCGTGAGT